CAGCTTCTACCCTGAGGCTGTTAGACTCATGAATCTCTAACCAGAATAATCACTGTGAAAAACCATATCATGTTGCTGCTGATCTGTTTCATGTTGCTGCTGATCTGTTTCATGTTGCTGCTGATCTGTTTCAATGTTGATGTGTTCATGCGTGCACATCTGCTCACAGACTCATGTTCATGTTTGTGCTGATGTTCAATGTTTTATGTTATGAGTGCTTAGTGTATATTTAGTTGATGTTTTTCTTAGTTCATATCTTAGATGTTATTACTGTTTTTCTTATACATTTTATTGTTGGATGTAACTGGGACCCTGTGAACATAATTTCGCTCCACCACATGTACCACATGAGGTGCGAATGACAATAAAGAAACTCTGACTCTGACTCTGACTCTGACTTAGTCCATAACTAAGGGATGGCTCAGGAAACTCAAGGCAACTCTACCTATAGGATTTATCAAAAAGGAAAGTCTTAAGCCCAGTCTCAAAACTGGACAATGTGTCAGCCTCACAGACAGAAACTGGAAGTTGATTCCACAAGAGAGGAGCCTGAGAACTGAAAGCTTTGCATCTGTGTCTGTATTCCAGACACAAAGTACGTTTAACAGGATTTATTTTGGTAAAGAGACTTGCTTGAGTCAGGAAACGTCTACAGGGACACACAGGAAAGTTTGAGAATAGAAAGGGTGGGTTAGTGGCTATGATAGAGTACCGGGGGTGGGGAGTTTAGTGAGGATAGTGACATCACAATTAGAATGGAGTCCTGGGTGGGTTTGCTGCTATGCTCTGGTGTTTGACAATTTGTTAGGAATAATCCCAAACTCAGTGGGATAGTCAGAAGATAGACAAGGGTCATACACAAGAAGGCAGATCTCAGATTACTTATCTGGGGTTCAGGCAATACTCGAAGGCCGGGGCACTGAAAAAAAGTTGATGTCCAGCAACATTGGTGTCCTGTTAACTATTTGTTAACTATTTGTGAAGGGGACATGTCCCCCTCACATTTAAATGGTAAATGGACTGTACTTATATAGCACCTTTCTATCTTATCAAGACATTCAAAGCGGTTTACACTTCAATCTGTGCCTCATTTACACATTCATACAGCTCTATACTAGAGCTCTACAAAGGTAATTGAACAAATAGTTCTAAAGAGACTAATCAGTTCTTCATCACATTCAGACACTGATGGGACACACATCAGAGGCTGTGAGGGGTTCAGTGTCTTGCCCAGGGACACTTCGGCATGTGACTGCTGATGGATTCGAACCCCCAACTCTTGCATTGGAGGATGACTGCTCTAACCACTTAGCCACAGCTGCTCTTTAAAAAAAATATTTGGCTTCACTCTTCTATGAAACAGCTACATTTGAACAATGTAGCTGTCTGCCACTTACATCAAGGTAGACCTGATCAGGTGGGCATGAGGGAGATTTGCAAGTCTTTGTGTCTGTAAATGACAGAAGGCAGCACATTTTAGAAGCTTTGTCTAATCTGAGCAGGAAGATCTTGTTCTGTCTTTTCTTTGCCCTAAGATTTGAAAAGTCCAGCTAACGGTGTTATAAAGAATACTTTGAAGGAGACATATGGTGTTAGGGAGAACGAAACCAAGTAACACAAATTTTCTGGAAAGTAAAATTGTTAAAATCATGATGGGGAAGGAACAGTGGAAAGAAAAACAATGGGAGAATGGATGATGGAGAATGGGAGATGGATGTTGTTCTAAGAGGATGTGAAGGAAAGGGGAATAAAAGTTATGAAGTGTAGAAACTGTGGCACCAAGGTAGGAAGGAACCTGTAAAATATTTTGTTTTAATAATCACATGCGGGTGGACAAAACTGACTAAAAAGTGTTTTTTTGTTGTTGTTTATTTAGTGTTGTGAAGGCTGCATGATGCCAGGTCATTTGCTGCTATGAGTATAAAGGTCTATCTCTAAATCAGAAAACAGTAAAAAGTCCCCCTAAATTCAATGTTGGTGGTTATTAAAATGTCACCTGTTCATTGTGTAAAGTTGATTTTATATTTAAACATGCAGTTGAGTGTCACTATTGCTTAGCACAATGGCATGTTGTGTTACAAATATAACTAAATCAAAGATAAACAAAATAATAGTCAAATGCACCCTTAAAGTCGTTTGTGAGTTCAAAAACTGGATGATGCATATATGGACTAGTTGAATGAGGTGTCTCTAAAACCTTTATTTAACCAGGCAAATCCCACTGAGATCACAGATCTCTTTTGCAAGGGAGGCCTGGGCCTGAAGGCAGACTAACATGCATGTTTTTGTTCTGTGGGAGGAAACCGGAGTACCCGGAGAAAACTCACGCACTCACGAGTTGATCATGCAAACTCCACACAAAGACCCCGGGTCTAACTGGAGATTGAACCCAGGACCTTCGTGCTGTGAGGTAACCAGGGAGCTGTCGTGCTGCCCCAAAACAGTTATAGAATCAAATGTTTGCATATGTAGGTAAATGTATTTGTTTAACAACCTGTTAAAATACACCAAAATGCAGGGAATGGCATTTACTTTATTCTAAATTTTCTGGCCGAGGACACCCAGACACCCCAACAGTGTGTGTGTCCATCCCACACACACTTTGCAATTGTTTCTGACGTCCCTGTCCAGAAATCAGAAGCTCGGCTCTGACTGATCATATATGTAATTGCAGGACCGTCCAGTGTGACATTGTTCTTAGAATGACTCAGATTTGACTTTTAGTACTAATTGAGGGACGAGTTTGTGAGCAAACTTTAGTGTAACAGATTACTAGTTTGAAATTTGTTGTTTACCCTAACTTTCATTGTCCTTTCATTTTTTCTTTTTCCTTTTTCACAAATGCTTCGAGTAAAGTTAAAGTACACAGTTTTTGGACACTAAGAAATAGAATTAAAACCTCCCACATGGTTAGGGTGAGGAGACAACATGATTGTCATGCTGCTTCTTATCACACAACACAAATGTTTCCCAACATAAAACAACAGGCTAAAATTTCTAACTTCCATGTAAATAAACAAAATTTAGAGATGTGGATAAATAGTATCTATTACAAGTTTTCTGATACTGGGTTCTTTTAGCAAATATCTCAAAACAATTAACACTATTTCCACCTGTAGACATGTTAGAAATAAGACTTTTTATTATCTAAAGTAAATGCTCTATTTAGTTTTTATACCTTGTGATTCTGATAAGAAGTTACTGAAATAAAAGCTGTCTCATGAAAAACATGAGTGCAGTAGGCAGTGTTCTTTGATCCAAAGGCATTGTTTTCATCAGCTTTCACTATGTGAAGTCTGGGTTGGTACTTGTGCATGGAATTCAGGATGATCTGAAAAAAGGGAAAAGAAAACAACTTCTTCAGTAAAATCACATGATGTATAATAAATCCACACCTCCAGATGCAGGAAGAGGGCCACCTGCATCATGAAGGACCCCATACACCCAACACACACACTTTTTGCCTCGCTCCCCTCAGGAAGGAGGTTGAGGAGCATTAAGTGTAGAACCACTAGACTGAGGAACAGCTTCTACCCTGAGGCTGTTAGACTCATGAATCTCTAACCAGAATAATCACTGTGAAAACTACTGTGAAAAATACAACAAAAACTATGAAAATCGCTGTAATGTCACTTGGTTGTTTATATGTGTTGCTGACTATCCATGATGCTGATCTCATGCTGCTGATTATTTCATGTTGCTGTGTTCATTAGTCCTCATTTGCTCACACAGACTCATGTTCATGCTGCTGTTGTTTTGGCTTATTGTTTTTGTACCATCAGTGCTTACTGTATTCTTAGTTTAGTGAATGTAGTATATTCTTAGTTCATGACTCGGATCTTATTAATGTTTTTCTTTACAATTTGTGTTTTTGTTGGATGTAACTGGGACCCTACGTACATAGTTTTGTCCCACCTCATGCATCACATGTGGTGTCTATGACAAATAAATCTCTCTGTCTCTCAAAAATCCATTATCTTTTACCCGCTTCTTCCTTTTTGGGTCACGGGGGTTAGAGGATGACACTTTTTCAGGAGTCCTTTGGGTCATGGGATTCCGGCAGGATTCCAGCAGGATTTTTTCATTCAACCTTTATTTAGACAGGTAAATCCCATTGAGCCTCGAGGACTCCTTTACATGGAATTAGGATTCCAGCAGGACAGGAGTCAACTTTATTATAACTCACAGGACTGGGATGGGACAGAACAAAAAGTTAACAGGACCAAAACAGAAGGGACCAACCAATAGGACAAAAATAGAAAATTAACTAAACTTTGGACAGGCACAGCTATTTTGTAGTTTTCTTTCAATAAGCCTTCACTCTGGAATACCAGACTTGCAATTCTCCAGTCTGTAATGTGTTAAACACAAAGTAATATCAAAAGAAATGGGTAGAAGATTAAATCAAATTCAATGTATTTCCTAAAGACTAAATGGAAGAAGAAGAAAAAACAAAACAGGAGCAGTACAGGAATGGGAGCTATTCTGAATGGGAGCAGGATTCATGTTACCAGGAGTGGGACAGGACAGAGTGAAAATCCACTCCCGTGTCATCCTCTAATGGTGGTCATTAGTGCCCATATCTAGCAGTCACTGTGCAAGAGGCAGGGGACACCCTGGATAGGTCTCCAGTCCATCCCAGGAACACCCTGGACATGTCTCCAGTCCATCACATGGACACCTGGACAGGTCTCCAGTATATCACAGGGACACACTGGACAGGTCTCCAGTCCCCCACAGGGACATATAGAGACAAACCAGACTAACAACCATTCACTCTCTCTCTCTCACCTAGGGACAATTTAGAGTTACCAATCAGTCTAACATACATGTTTTTGGTCTGTGGGAGGAAACCGGAGTACCCGGAGTAAACCCACGCAGCACAGAGAGAACATGCAAACTCCACCCAAAATGTCAGCAGCAGAGGTAGCAGCTCTACCAGCTGCGCCACCTTGCTGCCAGTCATTAAGGGGTTCTGGAAGGGAGGCAGAAGGGAGCAGCCAAAAGTAAAACTAAGTAACTTCAGCAGCATCTGCTTTCCAAATGATAATTTACACAGTTCTGAAAGATTTACGGAACTAGTTGATTGACATTATATTGTATGGGAAATCCAGGGAACATTATGATGAACAGTGACAAGTCTGAAATCCTTCAGTGCCTTAAAAATGTAGGCATATAGATCAATGTCAACAAAAGCTTATTTGATAATCAACCATTCCAAACCTGAGACAGGTAATCTCTAAGAAGGGCCATCAGGAGGACCTGATTCCCAGATTAGATCACCTTACTGCTTACTGAAACTACCTCATCAAAAATAGGGTATATTTTCATTCATTCCTGAGCTCAAGATTTTGATTCAGCAAGTTTCTACCAAGCTATGTAACAGTGGTTGAGCCACTGAGAGAGCCACTACATAGACTCAAGCTAAACTAAAATGGAATGAAAATACAGTATTTCCTGATAAGCCCAGCTTGCCATCTACTACCATAAACAGCCAACATTAATAGCAACAGATGCATTTGATTATGAAAGGTTTTGGTTTTTGGACCTGAGCACCTTAGGAATTAATTTTTCAGTCTTTCTCCCTTCTTAGAAAGCATTAATCTGTCCTCCAGCTCTAATGTTAAAAATCTTGGTGTTATTTTTGATCAAGACATGTCTTTTATCCCCCACATTAAAAATGTTACTAGAACCTCCTTCTTCCACCTGCGTAATATCACTAACATTAGAAACATCTGATCTAAAAATGATGCAGAAAAACTGGACCATGCATTTGTCACGTCTAGACTGGACTATTGCAATGGTTTATTATCTGGGTGTCCAAATACTTCTTTAAAACGTCTTCAGCTGATCCAAAATGCTGCTGCCAGAGTCTTAACTGGAGTTACTGGGAGAGATCATCTCTCTCCAGTTTTAGTTTCTCTCCACTGGCTCCCTGTCAAATCCAGAATATAATTCAAAATCTTACTTCTAACCTACAAAGCTCTCAACAACCTAGCTCCATCTTATATTACAGATCTTATTGTTCCATATTTTCCTAACAGAGCACTTTGCTCTCAGACTGCAGGTTTACTCGTGGTTCCTAGAATTTACAAAAACAGAATTGGAGGGAGATCTTTCAGTTCTCAGGCTCCTCTCTTGTGGAACCAATTTCCAATCTCTGTCCGTGAGGCTGACACATTATCCAGTTTTAAAACTAGGCTTAAGACTTTCCTTTTTGCTAAATCCTATAGTTAGGGTCGGCTTGGGTTTCCTGAGCTGTCCCTTAGTTATGCTGCTATAGACTTAGACTGCTGGAGGACAAACTGACCACACTTTTCACTCTGCTAATGTCTTTACTTTCTACCGTCCGCCCCAAATCAACAACTCTTTTATAAATGACTTTGCTGCTCTAATCGCCCATCTCTCAGCTCTTTCACCCAACATTATTCTGCTTGGAGACTTCAACATTCATATGGATGAAGACAACAACCCCCTCACCAGAGACTTCACATCCTGCCTCGACAGCTGTGGCTTCCAGCAGTTCATTAACTTTCCAACCCACATAAAGGGCCACACTTTGGACTTATTATGCTGCTCTGGACTCTCTCCTCTTAACTGTTCTTCTGATGAACTTCCATTTACTGATCACCTCATGATTTCATTCAGTGTCTTTCTTAAATTTTCTTCAGAGAAACCTCAACACACTCTTTCCTTCTGTAATATTAAGAATATCAACCATGACATTCTTTTGTCTCATATTAATAATACCATCTTCACCTTCAATTCTTTTAACCCAGATGACCTTGTCACATTCTACAATAACAGCCTCACCAACATCCTTAACTCTGTCGCTTCTCTGAAAACCCGGTCTGTCTCCTTCTCCAACTCTGCAACTTGGTTCACTCCAGAACTCCGTTCTCTGAAATCCAAAGGTCGGAGGTTGGAGCGACTCTATAAGAAATCCGGTCTCTCAATTCACAAGGAACTCTATGCGAACCACGTCATCCAGTATGAGAACAGTATTTTTCAAGCCTAATCCAGCTACTTCTCTGACATCATCAGTTCCAATGTTGGCACTTCAAAGACTTTGTTCTCTCTCCTTAACCGCTCAGTCTCATCTCCTAACTCATTACCCTCTCACATGGTTTCCACAGAATTTTGCAACTCTCTGTTGTCCTATTTCAATGAAAAGATTCTTTCAATTCATAAACACCTTAGATCTAATACCGCCCCCAGCATCTATGTTGAACTCCCCCCTCCCTCCCTCCCTCCCCTTCTCTGTCTTCTCCCTCCCCTCTGCTGATGACATTGCTGACATTATCAGCAAGTCTAAGTCCTCATCCTGTCAGCTCGATCCATTTCCCACAGTTCTTGTTAAATCCTGTCTCTCGTCTCTGCTCCCCATCATCACTAACATCATCCACTCCTCCCTAACCTCTGGCATTGTTCCCACAGCTTTAAAATCTGCGGCCATCACCCCCATCATCAAGAAACCAGGTCTTGACTTTACCAACTTCAGTAATCTTCGTCCAATCTCTAATCTGCCCTTTATTTCCAAAGTTCTTGAAAAAGCCGTTGCTAGTCAACTTCACTCTCACCTATCCAACAATAACATTTATGAAGAGTTTCAATCTGGTTTTCGCCCCCA